AGAATAAAATATATTTAGCCCTAGAAGTCATTGGATGTCAAGAAAGTCCTGTTACATTTTATAGAGTCGGTAGACCAAATCAAAATAAACGTTATACCCGCATGATAAAAGTGATAATGAGTTCTGAACACCACACTCGAAAAATTCTTCGTAACAAAAATAAAGTTTAGACACTTATGCAGCAACTTTGTTTAAAGGAACTTCGTACTGAGCTTGAAACTCGTAAAAATAATGGAGAAAATGACCTTACGCTAAATATGTGAATGGCTGTCCAAAGATAATGAAATTTCGTTCATAATTCTTCTGCACTAAAATTTACGGATTGTCTTCTTATGTATACCAATCTAAACTCTCTTATGTCCAAATTTAACGAATTCATAAGTATGTGCTGTTCAACTTTTACTTACTTCATTGTGTAAATGATTGGTCATTATCTTTAAACAATTGGAATCCTGTCGATGTAGTTTACTTAGACTTCTTCAGACCTTTCGACCGTGTTCCAAAACGTCGATTACTAGCTAAACTGGATCACTCTGGTATCTGTAGAAAGTTAAACATTTGGATACAAGATTTTCTATCCGCCAGTCAAGAGTGGAGTCCCACAAGGATCAGTACATGGACCGCTTCTTTTTTGTGTCTACCCTAGTGTTCTTCCGCTCATTGTATCCAGTAAGGTTTCCATTTACGCTGATGACACGAAGTTAAATGTAAATCCAACTATTAAACAACATATTCTTCAACAAGATCTTGACGCAATATTCAAATGGTCCTCAGAATGGTTACTTCCGCTTAACATTGAAAAATGCGTTGTTTTACATATCGGCAAAAATAACCCATCATTGCCGTACTTTATTAATGGACATCCTTTAAACTCAGTAACCTCCCACAACGATCTCGGAGTGATAATTAATAGTGACTTAAATTGGTCTGATCACATAGCGTCGTTGTGTAAACGTGCAAACTCGAAACTGTTTTTGATCCGTAAATGTTTTACACGTATATATCTAACCTCTGTTAGTAAACTTTACTCAATATACGTTAGACCTTTTCTTGAGTTGGCCGGACCAGTGTGGAATCCAGATCACAGTCGCGATAAAATCGGACTTGAAACATTAAAGAAGAAATACAAGCTAGAATAATGGCAGGCAATAGAAGTGTACATGTTCTTAGTGGAATGTTGAAGAGCAAGTTTTTATCAAGAAAGGCAAAAATACAGTTATAAAAAACAACTATACAACCCATAGTAACATACTGCAGTGAGACATGGACAATGAAAACAACTGAACAAAATTTACTGGAGATATGGAAAAGGAAAATCCTGAGCAAGATATATGGAGGAATAATAATCCAGTCTATAAGTGCATACTCAACCCCCAATATATCCCAATATATCAACAAGAATCTGTTCAGTGATTCAGTGTGCTATGAAAGTTGTCAGTGTCAGGATATTAGTAAAAATCTAACGCGGTACTGAATACCTAGTTACGAATTTTGAATTATATTAAAATATTTTTTGTGAGTTAGACTAAATTTGGACTTTGTTTGTGATGGCGTACGAGAGGGAACATCAACGGTTACTAGCCCTTTGAGAGGCTATAGAAGATTATATACAACAAGATGAAGTCGATCAATCGGACACCGATGTTTGATAGGCCGCTTTCTCAAGTGACGAAATAAATAAAGAGAATGTACAAGGCCCTGTCTCTACACAATTAAATTTAGAAAGATCTGAAAGAAGTGCTCCCTATTATACTCTTGGATGATACTAAATGGTTAGTGCACCAAAATCAAAATAAAGTTGGAAAAACCAGCATCCAAAATATTGTTACACAGATACCAGGTGTAAAAGGTGTTGCAAAAGAAGCCAAAACATTATTGGATTGTTGGAAACTTTTTTCTCGGAAGAAATCATTCAATATATTACAGATTGTACCAACAAAAAATTAGACTCACCAGAAACGCAAAACATTACAGTCTTACAGATTTTGATGAAATTAGTGCATTTGTCGGGCTTTTTTTATATCTTGCTGGTGTAAAAAGAGCCCAACATTTAAATACATCAGAACTTTGGAGAACGGACGGAACGGCCCCAAAATACTGTGCTTTTACTATGTCAGAATGCCGTTTTCACTCTTGGTACAAACTATTAGGTTTGATGATATTCAATTTAGGGTAAAAAGAGTCCAAGAAGATCATTTGGCGCCTGTGCGATACATTCTGGATAACTTTGTTGGGAAGTATTTACAACATTACTCGGTGGGTAGCTACATAACAGTGGATGAGATGCTTGGGGGTTTCAGAGGGAGATGCAAGTTCTGCCAGTATATTACAAATAAACCTGTGAAATATAGCATAAAAATATACGCTGTTGTAGACTCTCGAATGATTTATACACATAACATTGAAATTAATGCAGGTAAACAACTAACTGGTCGATATGAACTAAAGAACGATGCCCATAGTGTTGTAACAAGACTTTTAAGATATTGTAGTGGTACTGGAAGAAATGTAATTATGGACAATTACTTTAAATCTGTATTTTTGGCTAATAACTTGGTACATAACCACCGTATAACGTTATTTGGAACATTACGTAAGAACAAGCGAGAGGTTCCCCCAATTTGTTTAGATACCAAATTACAAAAAAGAAATAACAGCATGTTTGCTTGGGGAGTTGGTCCCAATAATGCGTTCTTAGCTCATATGTACTAAAACCTAATAGAAATATGCTGATTCTATCGACATTTCACAAAGATGATGACATTGATCCAGAAAGTGGCGATGCAATGAAACCTTCTGTTTCTGCTGAGCGGTTGATGTGGTAGACAGGATAAAGGTAGAATATTCGACTACAAGAGTGATCAACCGTTGACATTTAACTGTTTTTTGTTCTTTACTCAATACTGCTGGCATAAATTCACAAATTGTTTACTACAGCAATACAGACACAAAGCTCAAACGAAGAATGTATTTGACAGATCTTGCTAAGCAACTTACAAAGCCCCATTTTGTTCGTCGATCAAGTATTACATCACTGTCAATTTCACTAAGGCAAAAAAATAAGAAATATTTTAGGAAATAAAGCCATTCCAGTTAAATGTTGCCGAAACTAAATAATGCGAATGCGAAACTTCGTTGTTTCTTTTGCCCGAAGAGAAAAAACAGATTTACTCAGCATCGATGTCATACATGTTTGAAATCCGCATGTAAAGAGCATATTGCAGAAACAGTTTTGACTTGCTAAAGATTCCTAAGAGAAGATTCCTAAATTAAAAACTTGTTATTTTTTGTTCTTATATATAAATTTGTTTTAACAGTTATACTAAATTATATTTTATCTTACCAGTCGTTCAATTTTTCAATAAATATATTAAATACATAAATAAAATAACAATATAAGCTATGCAAAATACTGCCAAGTACCAAATACCTTAAAAAGGGAACATTATTATTGAAACGAAAATTGAAACGATGATAAACTTATTTTAAACTTAAATTGTGGCTTATTTTCAATAACAAAATACTAATTGTTTTAAAATGCGACAATCAAATAGCTTTAGGATATATTAAAAACAGTTGTCAATCTATCAAATAAACATTTAAATGCAACGTGGAGTTTAATACTGTCCAAAGGTCTAAACTTTGCTGTTACTCATGCATCCATTTCAGAATTAGACATAATTAGCTCAGAGAAGAAAATATCTCAATATTTTCCAAGGAACGAATTCCGAAGTGGAACTCGAAACGTCAAATAAACTTAATTTTAAAGTAAAATTGTGACTTATTCCCAACAACTATACCGGTAACAGCTTCTTATCATCTTTGTACTTCTATTTATAATCTATCTATATCTATCTATCTATCTATCTATCTATCTATCTATCTATCTTATTTATTATGTTTATTTGGTTACTTATATATACGCGCCTCTAGATCGGAAATTTGTGTATACATTGTCTAATGTCATTAAAGAAATCGAATATATGTACCTTTTGGCCTATCTTTTATAAAGATAGACTTCACAAAGGATTTTTTCGGACCATCCTTTGTTCGACCAAATAGTTCGGATCGATTAGGTTTTATCGTTCACTCTATTCATCCGATGTTCTAATCCGTAGACTGTTGTGCTCTAATTGGGATGTGTGTTCGTTAATTTGTGTGAACAAGCAAGAGGGCGCTTGTTTTCCGACGGAAAAGGGAACCAGCTCCAAAAATTCCGATAGGAAGCGGTAAAAAACCTCTGCCTGGAGAGGGTTATATCAGTTTTTTTATTACAATCGTACAGCTAGTAAAGTGGACCATGTATTTGTATTCAATGAATAAAATTTCAGTAATATTCTTATTATTTTAATATATGGTGAGTAATTTTTTACTGGTTCGACACAGTTCGCCGATGTCATTTTTAAGAGCACAACATTTCTATAGTTTATCATGATTGTGACATTTGTATTAGCATAAAAACGACCTGATATTTCATATCGTTCTTCCGGAATTTTATGGTCGGCTCCTCTTTTAATTTTCTGTTCCTATCTCTCCTATCGCCTTTTGCAATTGTCTTTATTTTTTCATTTTCTTTACGTTACCGTACCATATTATTTATTTATTTTTTTTTAATAAATTTTGCTATTGGTTTGAGCTGAAGATAATTTTGAACAAAGATATTTATTAGCACTTTTTTGTAGAATGATCCGTCCACTCAGAAACAACGATTGAAACCATTGGCGATTTTGAATGTCAGTTACGCGGGAGAAATTAATTTTTTAAATAAACTTTGTATCAAGTCTACGGTAAAAATTTGTAATAGAGTATTGATACTCTATCGATAAGAATCAAAATACATTTTAAACGTGAAGACAGCTTTCATATGTAGTTTGTGCATTCTCCGGTAAATAAAATTAGTTTCTATAAAACTGTGAAATAAATAAATATTGCGTTATTTTTGATGCGCTAATCTTGATACAATTTTAAAGAAAATCAGCTCTTTAGTTTACAATTGTATGATGTGCGAAGATTTAACAGTTGTTTGCTTGCTACTTGGCCAACAAAAGGAATTTACAAAGGGTAAAGCAAGAGATAAACACTGGTCCACAGAAATGGTCCACATAAGAAATTCTTTAGCACCTGACGAGAAGAACATTTTGTACAAAACTTTAACGAATATATTTTTCCTACCACATGGGGTACCAATACAAGGGGTAGAAAATTGGGGACTGAAACTAAAGGGGTGGAGATAAGGCAAGCAAAATAATCGCTACTTGTGCGAACGGCACTCACGGTTTGTTAGGAGAGCTAGGGTCGTGGATAAGTAAAAGGCAAAGGGGTTTGGAATGAGGCAACTACAAAAAAATTAAATAAAAGGGGTCGTTAGTCTTTTGGAAGAAACAAAATAAAAATAAACAGGAAACACCTCTAGTAATTTATATAGACCGCCACTTTGAGGTGCCTAATTATAACTAGTACAACAACTAGTGGTAACTAAAGAAATAATTATTAAAAAATCAAAACATAAAAAAGCATATCTTTTTTAAATAAAACTCAAAAAAGGGTTAGTTCAAAAAAATAAACAAAATGTTAAAAAAAAAATTAATATTTATTAGTGTTTTACTTGAGACAAGAAACTTGGATTGCGTTTAAAAAAATTGTAACCAAGGTTTTCGGTAATGTAAAAGACCCTAACTACGAGCTTATATTAGCCAATTTAATAGATAAGTTTAAAGATCTGGGATGTCTCATCAGCCTCAAAATCCACTTTTTGCATAACTATCTTGACTCGTTCCCTGAAAATCTTATGATCTCAGTGAAGAAGAAGTCAAACGATTCCACCAGGATATCAAGGTGGTTGAAAAACATACCAAGGACGATGAAACACCAACATGATGGGTGATTACTGTTGGTCACTTTACCGGGAACAACAGAGTTGTTCTCGTTGTAGTTTCCAAGAAGGAGGGGTTCTAAACTAAGTATTGAATTGAGCTCTTCAGTACTCTTGGAAAACACACTCGGAGGGGGTAGTTCACAACCTCAGCACGGCGCGTCCCAATGACTGATAGGGAACGATCTACAGATATGTGGGACAGGTGTGAATAAGGCTTTGCCAAATAAATACCCGCGGATCAACTGAGAGCATGGCATAGAGTAGCACCTATGTCACTACAGGATCGGAGCGGTAGAGAAAAATCTCTTTACCGGTCTGATACTGAATAATCACAGACGGTAATTATTTAATCAGTTGTAATACTACGAAGTAACTGAACGATTACCGTTAAAAGTAATTCTCAATTTGTTGGTTATCGCGGAGACAAACGCGGAAGAGCTAAATTAGTCGACGGGGTATTGAGATGTGGAAAGCCACATTACTACATTACATGCCTACCACATTAAAGATCCATAAGGATATCCCCAGGACACCATAATAGCTGAAAATCCAAAATAAAAGTCCCTCAGTCCCGGGCACTCCTTAAGTGGAGAGGTGTGCTAAGAATCCCCCAGTCAGCCAATAATGCCCCAAAAGTTAAAAGGATCATACTAGCATATACTATTTAAAATAAGACTCATACGTAGATGTAGATATAGATATATGAACATAGATATTTTAGGATGCAGTGAAGTTCGATGGCCAAATTTTGGAATAAGAATTATAGATGAACATGATGTCTATTATTCTGGAGACGACACAACAAGAAACAGAAATGACGTAGTGATCAGACAGAGTTGTGCTATTGAAAATTAACTCAATTCCTTCTAATATAAACATCATTCAGGTCTACGTACCGACATCAGAATCCACTGAAGAATAAATAGAAAATTTCTATCACACTCTGGAAGACTCTCTAAAATTGACCAAAAAACATGAACTTACTATTATTATGTGCAGTTTAAATGCCAAAATTGGACAGGGTACAGTCGAGAATGTCGTGGGATCATATAACCTTGGCATAAGAAACGAAAGACTAATCCAATTCTGCCAAAAGGCGGATATGGTTGTAACGAATACACTTTTTAAATTTTATCCAAGAAGACTTTATACATGGAAAGCACCCGGTAATACCATGTGAAAAATTATAAGATAAAAACATATCCAGGCGCAGATGTCTTCTCAGATCATATTCTGTTCCTTGCAAATATCAACATATGACCCAAAATAATTCATAACAGAATGATGCCCAAGATAGATATAAAACTACTAAGAGAAAATGACATCCAGAAAAAAGTAAAATCAGAAATTAATAAGAATTTTGCGAGAATAGTTAAAGACAATAATCAACAGCATGCTAGCCGACCGAACGATTTAAGTAGTCATGGGAACCGACATCGGCACCCCAAGAAAACTGAAGAGTGGACTGCCTCAGGGATCTGTCCTAGCTCCTCTTCTCTTTAGCCTGTACATCGCTGATATACCAGAAACCAGATCAAGGAAGTTTGGTTACGCCGATAACTGGGTCCTTGCAACAAGGTGTAAGTCAATTGAACAAACAGAAGAATTCCTTACGGCAGACTTACATACAGTGGGAAAGTATTTTCGTAAATGGAGGCTCCAACCAAACGCTACCAAAACAGAGGTTTCCAGTTTTCACCTAACTATTAAGCTTGCAGGAAGAACACTGAACGTCCAATTCGAAAACACCACACTGGCCTACAATAAAACAGCAAAGTACCTTGGGGTGACTCTTGATAGAACCCTATCCTTCAAGGAACATCTGTCAAAAACAGCGCAAAAACTTAAATCCAGAAACAACATCATCCAGAAGCTGTGCGACACAACATGGGGAGCATCGGCTTCTACCTTGCGATCATCTGCCCTGAGCCTTGTTTTCTCAACCGCGAAATACTGCTCTTCAGCCTGGCTTAATAGCCCACATACACACAAAACAGATGCCCAATTGAATAACACAATGAGAATGATTGCTGGTGTTATCAAATCCACCCCTACGCAATGGCTCCCAGTCCTGAGCCACATTCCACCACCCAGACTAAGGCGTATACACTCCCTCACTAGTGAGTACCAAAAGATACTTACCAACGAGGCTCTGCCAATTTATCAAGATATAGATGCTGCCAACGGTAACCGTTTGCGCTCCAGGCGACCGCCAATAAAAACAGCACAGATTGCAGTGGAAAATGAGTTCAACTTAACGACCACTTGGACTCGAGAATGGATGGAACAACAAAATAGCAGCTTACCCTGCATCACACAAAAACCGCCATGTTTTGACTTACCATGCAACTCATGGACTATGTTGAACCGAATCAGAACCAAACATGGCAGATGCGGTTATATGATGCACAAATGGGGTAAACGACCCATCCCCACTCTGTGACTGTGGACAACCACAAACCATCTGTCACATCACAGAACAGTGTTCCACAAGATCCTATCAAGGCAGGTCAGAGGATTTCCTAATGGCGACTCCAGAGTCGATAGAATATATAAATAAGTTAGATGTTCGTTTGTAAACATATATGTATTATGTTTTATACAAATTATGTGTAAATTTAAATGTAAATGTGTCAAATGCCGTACGCAAAATAAAAAAATAAGTTGACGACACTTCTAGATGCATAAAAGAACAGTGGAACAAAACGAAGACATCTATTACCACAATATTTTGACAGATAATATTTTGCAAATGATGAAAGAGCGAAGAAAATTAAAAGGTGGAAATAACAACGAATACAAAAAGTTGCATATGACTATACTAAAGGAGATAAAAGGAGCAAAAGAAGCATGGCTGACGGAGAAATCTATGGAAGTTAAAACATCACAACGCAAATGTAAAGATTTCCATATGCACAAAAAATAAAAGAGGTACAAAATACCAGAAAACAACGCAATATAGGCATAGTTGTAGACATTGAAGACCAAATTTTGACTACCATTGAAGATAAATTACAAAGGAAGTAGAACAGTCCATATGCCCCAGAAATAACAAACTAAGGAGGAACTATGGCCATTAAGCGGATTAAAGATGGGACCTGATGAGGTGCATGGTGAAATTTTAAAGCTATTAGAGGTACACCAAATCGCAGCTCTTACGAAGTTATTCAACAACATCTACGAGACTAGTTACTTACCAAAAGACTTGCTACTATCAATATTCATTCCACTTACTAAAAAAGCCAACGCTAGAAAATGTGAAGAACGTAGATTGATTAGTTTGATGAGCCATGTACTTAAATTAGTCCTTACTTATCATTAACTCGCACATATACACCAAATTAGAAGAACACCCGAGTGAAGCTTAATTTGGATTCAGAACAGGACTCGGAACGAGGGAAGCACTTTTTAGTTTACAAGTTCTAATACAGAGAGCCAGGAATGTCAACTGCGATGTGTATGCATGTATCACTGATTTCGAGAAGGCATTTGATAAAGTCCCACATGAGAAACTAATTGATATCCTAAAAACATCAGGAATCGATGGTAAGGATATAAGACTGATCTCAAAATTATGTCTCCAAAAAAAAAGCAACAATACGATTAGAAAATGAACTAAGACAGGGTTGTATATGGTCACGGATATTATTTAACATATACTCTGAAAACATAACATCTTTAGAGAGGCCTTGGACGAATTAGATGATGGGATTGCCAATTTGTAAACAACATTAAATATGCAGACGATACAGTGTTGCTGGCAGATAGTGCGCAGGGGCTTCAAAGGATGATGGATAACGTTGTAGAAACATATAACAAATACACAGCTACGAAATAAAAACTCGTATTGAAAAAGCCAGAAGCTCTTTTAACAGCCATCGGAATATTCTCTGCAATCTATCTTTAAGTATCAATATACGCATAAGACGAAAAGCTAGCCGAACTGGAAGAAGAAGTAAAAAAGATGAAATGGGATATATTAGGATTAAGTGAGATAAAAAGAAAAGGGGAAGCCTGTATGAAGTTAGAATCTGGAAATGTACTATACTATAAAGGAACTGAAAAAGAATCATTAGCTGGTGTCGGTTTTCTTATTTCTAATCAGCATGTCCATAAGATTAGACAATATATTGGAATTTCAGAAAGGATCGCAGCTCTAATAATGGACATAAATAAAAATATAAGT